ATGCGCCTCCACGCCCGGCTCGTTTTTTAAAATACATTTTTAGTTGGTCAGTTAATTTCTATTTTTAGTAGAGACGGGGTCTCGCTCTTGCTCAGGCTGGCCTCCAACTCCTGACCTCGAGCGATCCTCCCGCCTCGGCCTCCCAGAGTGCTAGGATTACAGTACTGAGCCACCACGCCCGGCTCATTTTCTTCTCTATATATTAGTTGCCCAATTAATTTCTTTCTCTTTATAGTAGAGGCGGGGTCTCGCTGTTTCTCAGGCTGGCCTCGACCTCCCATCCTTAAGTGATCCTCCTACCTCGGCCTCCCTCCTGAGTAGCTGGGACTACAGGCATGCGCCACCACGCCTGGCCTAATTTTTTCCAAATTTATTTTTATTTGGCCAGTTAACTTCTTTCTTTTTTTTTTTTTGGTAGAGACGGGGTCTCGCTCTTGCTCAGGCTGGTCTCGGACTCCTGACCTCGAGCGATCCTCCCGCCTCGGCCTCCCACAGTGCTGGGATTACAGGCGTGAGCCTCCGCGCCCGGTTCATTTTTTTCTATTTTTAGTTGTTTGGCTAATTTTCTTTCTAATTTTTGTAAAGACAGGCTCTCACTCGTGCTGAGGCTAGCCTCCAACTCCTGACCTCGAGCGATCCTCCTGCCTTGGCCTCTTGAGTAACTGGGACTACAGGCATGCGCCACCTCGCCCACCTCATTTTTTCTATTTTTAGTTGTTTGGCTATTTTTTTTTCTATTTTTAATAGAGACGGGGGTCTCCCGCGTGCTCAGGCTGGTTTCGAACTCCTAACCTCGATAACGATCCTCCCATCTCGGCCTCCTCCCAAGTAGCTGGGACGGACAACAGGCATGCGCCACCACGCCCGGCTCGTTTTTTATATTTTTAGTTGTTTGGCTAATATTATTTCTATGTTTAATACAGACCGGGGTCTCGCTCTTGCTCAGGCTGGCCTCCAACTCCTGACCTCGAGCGAGCCTCCCGCCTCGGCCTCCCAGAGTGCTGGGATGACAGGCGTGAGCCTCCGCGCCCGGCCTGTGCTAAATTTTTCAAGACCAGGATTTCTGTACCATGTAGGGTATGGAGCTCAAATTCCACACGACAAAGCCCCAAACCCGGACTTCAGACAGAAACGTTGCCACTTCCTCAGGCTGGGTTTTCTAGCCTCGCTTTCACAACCTTCCCAAGTCCCGGGGGGTTGGAGGCGGGTGTTTTAGGGATGTCAGTTCTGGTTCTCTGGCCTCGTGCTCTTCTATCTCCTGGCCCCGCCAGAATTCACAAAACTCTTTTCCCTGGGCTGGGCGCGGAGGCTCACGCCTGTCATCCCAGCACTCTTGGGAGGCCGAGGCGGGAGGATCGCTCGAGGTCAGGAGTTGGAGGCCAGCCTGAGCAAGAGCCAGACCCCGTCTCTACTAAAAATAGAAAGAAATTAATTGGTCAACTAAAAATATATAGAAAAAACGAGCCGGGCGTGGAGGCGCGTGCCTGTCGTCCCAGCTACTCGGGAGGGAGGCCAAGGCGGGAGGATTGCTTGAGGCCAGGAGGTGGAGGTTGCTGTGAGCGAGGCTGACGCCACGGCACTCACTCTAGCCCGGGCGACAGAGCGAGACTCTGTCTCAAGTAAATCAATCAATACATAAGTAAATAAAAAAAAGTAACAACAACAACAAAAAAAAAGACAACAGGGCTGGGCATGGTGGCCCATGCCGGTCATCCAAGCACTCTGGGAGGCCGAGGCGGGAGGATCGTTGGAGGTCAGGAGTTCGAGACCAGCCTGAGCAAGAGGGAGACCCCGTCTTTACTATAAATAAAAAGAAATAAATTGGCCAACTAAAAATATATAGGAAAAAAAAAAATGAGCTGGGTGCGGTGGCTCACGCCTGTCATCCCAGCACTCTTGGGAGGCCAAGGCGGGAGGATCGCTGGAGGTCAGGAGTTGGAGGCCGGCCTGAGCAAGAGCGAGACCCCGTCTCTACTATAAACAGAAAGAAATTAATTGGCCAACTAAAAATACATGTAGAAAAAAACGAGCTGGGCGTGGAGGCGCACACCTGTCGTCCCAGCTACTCGGGAGGGAGGAGGCCGAGGCGGGAGGCTCGCTGGAGGCCAGGAGTCGGAGGCTGCTGTGAGCGAGCGAGGCTGACACCACGGCACTCACTCTAGCCCGGCGGGCGGCAAAGCGAGACCCTTGTCTCCAAAAAAAAAAAAAAGACTAAAATAACAAAAACAACAAACAAAAACACAACAGGACTGGAAGACGCGGGAAGGGTCACAGCGAGCAAAAGGTGGAGGCCCGGCCGCGAGGCCCGCTTACCTGCATGGTCACTAGCCTGTCGTCCACCATGACCTCCTTGGTGAGGAAGTCTGCTCCTATTGTGGCTTTGTACTGGTTGCTGAACTTCTTGTTGACATACTGGTTCATGAGAGACGTCTTACCGACCCTGAAATTTGAGAGGAAAAACAAAAACAGAAAAAACAGACACAGATATAAGTCAGAGAGAAAGGGCCTGAACCTCACGCTGATCCTTGCATGTTAAAAAAAAAAAAAAAATCTGGGCCGGGTACGGAGGCTCACCCCTGTCTCATCCCAGCACTCTTGGGAGGCCGAGGCGGGAGGATCGCTGGAGGTCAGGAGGTCGAGGCCAGCCTGAGCAAGAGCGAGACCCCCCCGTCTCTAGTATTAAAAAATACAAAGAAAATGGACCAAACAAGTAAAAATAGAAAAAAAATTAGCCAGGCGTGGTGGCGCATGCCTGTAGTCCCAGCACTGTGGGAGGAGGCCGAGGAGGGAGGCTCGCTCGAGGTCAGGAGTTGGAGGCCGGCCTGAGCAAGAGCGAGACCCTGTCTCTACTAAAAATAGAAGGAAATGAGCTGGACAACTAAAAACATATAGAAAAAAATGAGCCGGGCGTGGTGGTGCATGCCAGGAGGTTGAGGCGGGAGGATCGCTCGAGGTCAAGAGTTGGAGGCCAGCCTGAGCAAGAGCGAGACCCCGTGTCTACTATAAAAAAAATAGAAATAAAATTATCCAAACAAGTAAAAATAGAAAAAAAAAAATAAGCCAGGCGCGGTGGCGCATGCCTGTAGTCCCGGCACTCTGGGAGGCCGGGGCAGGAGGATCGCTCGAGGTCAGGAGGTGGAGGCCAGCCTGAGCCCAAGAGCGAGACCCCGTCTCTACTAAAAAAAAAAGAAAAAAAATAAGAAAAATTAGCCAGCATTTTTTTATGTATATATAAAAAACTTTGCGTATTACTTTTTAGTTATAATAATAAATAATAAAATATAATATATAATAATATATATAATAATATAAAATAATGTTATGTATATTTACATACGAAAAATATATACCTCATATATACTATTTCTATATAAACAATAGAAATATATTACACAAAAACGAGCCGGGCGCTGAGGCGCTGCTGTAGTCACACTCGGGGGAGGCCGAGCAGGAGGCTCGCTGAGCCGGAGGTGGAGCCGCTGTGCAGCGCGGCCGACGCCAACGCACTCACTCCCAGCCCGGCGCCAGAGTCAGACTCTGTCTCAAAAAAAAAAAGGAAGAAAAAATAAAAATCTGCGTATAAAGGGTGTCTGGCGACTGGATAAGCGCGAGACAGAGACCGCTTGGGTGTGCGGGCCGGGCGTCTGGAAAGGAGCTGCTCAGCCTGCGTTTATCTGTCCGCCGTCGTCATTTTTTAAAAAAAAAATTAAGTCTTAAAATCGTTTTCTTTTGTTTTGTTTTGTTTTGGTTTTCTCGCCCAGACACAGCCGGCCCCACGGCCCCCAGCCCGGCCGGGGACGCACGCCCGCGACCCGGCCCACTCGCCCCCGCCCGGAGTCGCGACACGGGACGGCGCTGGTGGAGGGCTGCCTGCACAGGGAAGAGAAGAAAGAAGCGGAGAAGGAAGGAAGGAAGGAAAAGGAAGAATGAAAGAAAAAAAAAGGGGAAGAAGAAGAGACATAGAGGGAGAGAGAGAGAGAGGAGGGAGGGAGGGAGGGAGGGAGGGGGGGGAGGAGAAGAAGAGAAGGAAGGAGGAAGAAAGGAGGAAGGAGAGGAAGGAAGGGGAAAGGAAGAAAAGAAGGAAGAGAGAAGGGAAGGAAGGAAGAGGAGAAGAAGGAAAGGAGGAAAGGAAGGAAGAGATAGCGAAGAAGGAAGAAGAAGAAGGAAGAAGAAGGAGAGAAAGAGGAAGGAAGGAGAGGAGGAAGGAGGAGGAGGAAGAAGGAAGGAAGGAGAAGGAAGGAGGAAGGAAGGAGAAAGGAGAATGAAGAGAAAAAAAAGGAAGGCAAGAAGGAAGAGACACAGAGGGAGAGAGAGAGAGACGAGGAGGAGGACCCGCGGAGGGAGGGAGGGAGGGAGAGAGAGGAGAGGGACGAGGAAGGAAAAGAAGAAAGGAAGACGGAAGAGGGAGAAGGAGAGGAAGAAGGAGAGGGAAGAGGAAGGAAGAAGAAGGAAAGGAACGGAAGGAAGGAGGAATGAAAGGAAGGAGGAAGAAGGAAAAGAGAAGGAAGAAGGAAGGAGAGGGAAGGAGGAGGAAGGAGGAAGGAGAGGAAGGAGAAGGACGGAAGGAGAAGGAAAGAAGAAGGAAGGAGAAGAAGAGGAACAGAGAAGAAGGAAGAGAAAAAGGAGGCAAGCAGGGAAAGAGACCAAAGAGGGAGAGAGAGAGAGAGAGAGAGGGAGGGAGGGAGGGAGGGAGAGAAGGAAGGAGGGAGGGAAGAAGAGGAAGGAAGGAAGGAAGGAGGAAGGAGGAAAGGAAGGAAGGAAGGAAGGAAGAAGAAGGGGAAGGAAGAAGGAGGAAGGAGGAAAGACGGAGAGGAGGAAGGAATGAAGAAGGAGGAGGAAAGAGGAAGGAAGGAAGAAGGAGGAGGAAGGAGAAGGAGGAAGAAGAAGAAGAAGAAGAGGAGAATGAAGGAAAGGAAGGAAGGAAGGAGGAAAGGAAGGAAAGGAAGGAGAAAGGAAGAAGGAAGAGGAAGAAGAAGGAAGGAGGAAGAGAAGGAAGAAGGAAGGAGAAGGAGGAGAAGGAGGAAGAAGGAAGGAAGAAGGAAGGAAGGAAGGAAGGAGAAGAAGAAGGAAGGAAGAAAGAGGAAGGAAGGAAGAAGAAGGAGGAAGGAGGAAGGAAGGAAGAAGGAGGACAGGAGAGGAAGAAGGAGGAGGAGGAGGGAGGGAGGGAAAGAAATAAAGGTAAGAAAAGGAAGGAAGGAAAGAAACAAAGGAAGGGAGGGAGGGAAGGAGGGAAGGAAGGAAAGAAGGTAAGAAAAGGAAAGAAGGAAAGAAAAGCAAAGAAAGATGGATGGAAGAATGGATGGATGGAAGGAAGAAAAAAAGGAAAGAAGAAAACAAAAGGAAAGCAGGAAAGCAGGCGGCAGGCAGGAAGGAAAGAAGGAAGGCAAGATGGAAGGAAGGAATGGAGGAGGGAGGGAGGGAAATGGATGGACGGACAGAGAGCTGGAGAGACAGACAGACAGACGGAGGAAGCAGAGGCCCCAGGACACGGGAGGACACAGATCCGGCCAAGCCCAGACCTGCGGGTGGGGGGGAGTGAGGCCCCTGGCGGCCACGGCGAGAAGGGAAAGCGGCGTGGTGGAGGCCCGGGCGGAGGGAGGCCTGGGCAGGGGAGGGAGAGAGGCCGGAAGGGGGGACCGGCAGACACTCACCCCGAGTCTCCCAGGATGATGACCTTCAGCAGGACCTTCTTCCTAGACGTCATCCTTCCAACTGGGGAGGGAAGGGGAGTCGGGGGTCAGCGGGGCGGGGACACGCACCTGCCCGGGGCGCGAGGGCCTCCCTGCCACCCAGGGGACCCCGAGAAGGGACCCCGCCAGCCCTCAGGACCCCCCCAGTGGGTAGAGCCGCACGCCAGGGCCGGCCGCCCCCCGCGGGTCCCAGAGTGTCACCTCGCTTGGGTGCGGGTCCATCGCTCGAGGCCGGGAGGTCGAGGCCGGCCCGAGCAAGAGCGAGACCCCGTCTCTACTAAAAAAAAAAAAGAAAAAGAAACGAGCTGGACGACTAAAAATATATATAGAAAAAACGAGCCGAGCGTGGTGGCGCATGCCTGCGGTCCCAGCTACTCGGGAGGGAGGCCGAGGCGGGAGGCTCGCTGGAGGTCAGGAGTTGGAGGCCAGCCTGAGCAAGAGCGAGACCCCGTCTCTACTAGAAATAGAAAGAAATTAATTGGCCAACTAATATAT